TATATATACAGGTTGTACTGGTAGGTATATTGAAAGATATCAAAACCAAACCAAAGTCACTGCCGTTGAGTCAGATCCAACTCATAGCAGCCCCTCCTTTGGTTTCTGAGGTGGTATCTCTCCGGAATTAGATTGCCCTATCTTCCTTTTGAGGAGTGTCTGGTGGGTATGAACTGCCAGCCTTCTGGTTAGCAGTCAAATGCTTTAGGGACTATGCCACGAGAGCTGGTGCTAATACATACAAGGTATCAAAAATCAGTTTTAAATGTTTAAAGTATTCAAATACCAAGAAGATATAGCAGACATAGAGAACACTGGTATTTAGTACAGATTGGGACAGAGTTTGTTTAAAAAAAAAAAAAATTAAGAAACGAAATGTGTCCAGCAGTGTACTGAAAAATTAAATCTTTACTTAAAATGTTCCATCTTGTTTAGCTGACAGCTCATTTAAAACTTGCATACAAAAGAAACAAAATCAAATAGTGACTAAATTAACAATATGCGCATTAGTTGTGCCAGAAAGTTAAGTGTTGAAATAATGATGGAGATATGCCAAAAGAACACAGATGCCAAAGTAATGGCCTTCCACTGGTCAAATGTGGGACATCTTAAGCATTAAAATAAATAATGATAGCAATATAAAAACCCAAACATATCTGCACCAAGGCACATTATAATCAAACTTTAGAAAACCAAAGATAAAGAAAGATCCTGAAATCAGCAAGAGGGAAGCAAACTGTCACATACAAGGCATCCTCAGTAAGATTATGCGCCAATTTTCCTTTAGAAACCTTGGAGGCCAGAAAGCAGTGGGATGACATATTTAAAGCGTTGAAAGAAAAAAACTACCAACTAAGAATTTTTAATCCAACAAAACTGTTGTGAATAAGGGTGAAATTAAGACATTCCCAGATAAACAAAAGTTGTGCGAGTTTGTGATGACAAGTTGCACAGTACAATACATGCTAAAGGGAGTTCTTTGGATAAAAATGAAAGGAAGATAGACAATAACTTAAAGATGTATATTGAAAAGAAAGATCTCAAACAGAGGTAATCCCATGGGCAAACATAGCATCATGGGCAAAATCTCAAAGGGAAAATTTTATGATATTTTTGGCTTGTAACTTTAGGAGTTATATTCTAACAAAGGTTAAATATGTAACATGTAATTATAAATCTAGGCTAATGGAGATAAAATGTATAAAGATACAATTTTTCAGAAACAACTGCATAAAGAGGAACAGTATAAGAACAGAACTTTTGTGTGCTACTAAAGTTAAGTCTGTATCAATATAAACTAGGCTGTTATTATTGAAGTTGTTAAATGTAATCCTCATGGTAACCACAAAGAAAAACATCTAAAATATATACAAAAAAGGAAAAGGGAATCAAAATGGTTCACTACCAAAATTCAACTGAAAACAAATGATGGCAGTATTTGAGGAAATGAAAGGTAAAGAAGGTATAAGACAAACAAAAAACAAACACCAAAATTGTAGTAGTTGTTCCTGATCAGTATGTACCTTAATGTAAATGGATTAAACACATCAATCAAAAGACAGAGAGGAAGAATGGATAAACATGCATGAACCAAGAGACATACTTAGAACCAAAGAAACAAATACTATGCAAGTGAAGAGATGGAGAAAAAAATATTCCATGTAAATAGTAACCAAAAGACAGCTGGGATGGCTTTATTAATATCAGACAAAAATGACTTTAGTCAAAATCTATTATAAGAGAAAAAGAATGGCATTATATAATAGTGAAAAGCTCAATTCACCAAAATACAACAAACAATTATAAATAAATATGAACTCAATATCAGAGCCCAAAAATATATAAAGCAAACACTGACAGAATTGAAGGGAGAAAAAATTCAACATTAATAGTTGGAGACTTCAATATACAACTATCAGTAATGCACAAAACATCTAGAAAGAATTGTTGTTGTTGTTATGTGCCGTCGAGTCAGAGCCGACTCATAGCGACCCCTCTTTGGGTTTCTGAGGCAGTTATCACTACCGAAGTAGATTGCCCCATCTTCCTTCTGAGGAGTGGCTGGTGGGTTTGAACTGGTTAGCAGTCGAGTGCCTTACGTATGCTACCAGAGCTCCCTCTAGAAAGAGTATCAGTAAGAAAATAGAGGATTTGAACACCATGAACCAACTAGACCTAACAGACATATATTCCACCTAACAACAGCACAATACACATTCTTCCGCAGTGCACATTAATAGACAGACTCTATGTTGGTCACAAAATAAAGGTGAATAAGATTAAAGAGAGTAAAAGACCAAACCACACTCACTGCCATTGAATCGATTTGACTCCTAGTGACCCCTCCTTGGGTTTCTGAGGTGGTATATCTAAGGAAGTAGATTACCCAATCTTCCTTCCGAGGAATGGCTGGTGGGTTTGAACTGCTAGCCTACTGGTTAGCAATCAAATGCCTTAGGCACTATGCCACCAGAGCTCCCAAAGAGAAAAGTCACACAAAATATCTTCTCTACCCACAATGGAATAAAATTAGAAATTAATAGCAAGAGGAAAACTAGAAAATATACAATATGCTGTCAACAATATTGTATGAGTTTATGCTAATGGTAGTGGAATTTTGGGAAAAGGATAACAACAATGATGCTACAACATGACAAATGTCATCAATGTCCCTGAGCAATAAATGGGGAAGTTGTTATGCTGGTGAATGTCTTGCTGTGTATGTTTTTACTACAATGAAAGTAAAAAATAAATAAATATATGTACTATAAAAAAATCAGTGGTTAAGGAATAGATCAAGAGAGAAATCAGAAAATACCTTTAGTCAAATGGAAATGATGAGCACATCAAAATTTATGACAGTAGGGGGCAATTTATTATTTAAGTGAAACCCCAGTATTAATGGATGCAGACACATAGACAACTAATTAAAATATAGAATAACAACTGCTATCATGTACTTATAGAACAAGTGACACAATAAAAAATGGGATTAACTCTACCTGGATAAGAATGAGAGGGAATAAGGGAATCTTAACATGAATATGCCATAAATGAAATAAGTCATGATCCAAATAACACACTTCTAATCTGAAATTTTAATAGAAGGATCAGTTTCATTAAACTTAATAGAAACTTAAAACATATTTACTATAGGCATTGTACAAAGAAAAAATAAAAGAGGCATATAATGAACAGTCCATACCCTCAAGAAGGTTAATACCTTGTAAGCATTCCTTCCAAGAAAATCCCATGCCCACTGCTGCCCAGCAGATCCTGACTCATAGCAACACCACAGATTAGGGTAGAACTGCCCCATGGGGTTTCCAAGGCTGTAATTTTACAGAAGCAGACTGCCTCATCTTCTCCCATGAAGCAGCTGGTAGGTTCAAACTACCAACTTTTTGATTAGAAGCTGAGCACTTAAGCACTGTACCACCAGGGCTCCCTGATAAGTATTCCTTCCAGAGGGAAGAAATTAGGTATTGTATACATAAGAACTTGAATACCACCATAATTAGTCATAAACTAAATTTACACATTAATTATAATTTGCCTGATGGGAGCATTACAAAAAATAAAAGATACTGCTTTAGCGGCTGAAATTCCATTCTCCAGGTCTCTCTCACCCAGGAGCAGCTGGTTTCAATAAAATGCTCAATGGTGATAGTTTAAGAAACTTGTTCAGTGCCAAAGGCTAAGATTTCCCAATTTAACTGCAGAATAAAATATTTGAGATGAAGAATATGTAAATCCATTTCACTTATGTAGCCTTTTCTGAACTATAGCAACAAGGAGGGAAAATAAAAGGTAAAGGTTTAATGATTCAAGATTTATGTATTTTAGTTAAGTTAAATAAATTCAAATAGGACTTAGACTATGAAATGCTCTACCGATCAATACAGTAAGATTTTTTCCTTATTATTACTTGGAAATAAAATTATATTGCTATTAAGAAGTATCAGAACCTTGAAAAATTTATGCTGAGTAAAACAAAGCTGTCACAAAAAGACAAACATTATATAATCCCTCATATATGAAATAGCGAAAATAGATCACTTCATAGAAACAGAAATATTACAGATTTCCAGGGTCTGAGTGATGGAAAGGAGCTCTGGTGGCATAGAGCTTATGGCATTTGCTAACCAGAAGGTTGGCAGTTCAAACCCATTAGTTGCTCCGCAGAAGGAAGACAGGGCAATCTACTTCCAGAAAGATTTACTGCCTCAGAAACCCAACAGGGGTCACTATGAGTCACAACTCGGTGGCAGTGAGATTGGTTTTTTTGGTCTTGGGAGACAGAAATGCAGTCAGGGGAGTTATTCTGTAATGGTTACAGAGTTTCTATCTGAGGTAATGAAAAAGTACTGGAAATAGTGGTGATGGTTGCACAACACGGTGTCTGTCATTAATGCCCTTGCATTATACACTTAAAAACAGTTTAAATGACAAATTTTGTTATATACATTACATAACAAAACAAAACAAAAAAACCCAAAACCTACCTCTTTAAAGAAAATAATAAGCCCTGATTTGTAGCATTAGCTGATTTCCATTATGTAAATACTCCTACTATGAATGATTTCACCAGTGAGTGGATCCAACTCGATGGCAGTTGAGTTTGGTTTGGTTTATTTATTGTGTGAGGAATGGCATAAACCGTTTATCAGTAATCTCACTCTATCATAGAAAACGGGAGCTCTGGTAGCATAGTGCCTAAGGCACCTGACTGCTAACCAGAAGGCTGGCGATTCAAACCCACCAGCCAGTCCTCAGAAGGAAGGTTGAGCAATCTACTTCCATAGTGACACCACCTCAGAAACCCAAGGAGGGGTTGCTATGAGTCAGGTCTGACTCGATGGCACATAACAACAACATCATACAGAACAATATTTTTCTCACTAACAATAACATTAATCTCCAATGTGATATAAATGACCGCCTGGATTAGATGTTATATTCAACAAAGTAAAGACCCTCTAAAAAAAGTTACAACTTACTTTAGCTTCAGTTTCTCCCCTATGAAGAGTATATAGATGATGGACTGCACTTTGTGATGAGGACCAAGGATGAGTCAGAATTTGGAAGACATGAAAGTCATGGCCAAGTGTGTCTGTTGTGACTAGAAGCATTCCTGGAAGACAAATAACAAGGGGTAAAAATAAAAATGATTATGTCTATGGGTGAAATATTTTTAAAATACTGATTATTCTTTAAAATATTACCACAGGAAAAACATTACCAAAGATGTAAGAAGCTGTCTAAAATAAAAAATTAAAACAAGATTTTTTTCCTATGCAAATACAAACTCTAATTCAATATACCATCAAGGTGAGAACACTACATGTACAGGTGTTACATGACACATGGCTTTTTGCGAATCAAGTTATTTTTTAAAAAGAGAATTATGTAATCAGCAATAACAGACAAAAGAAAAAATAACAATAGATTCTTCAATATGACATCAAAAGCACAAGCAAGTAAAAACAAAACAGATAAATTGGAAATTATAACAAAATTAAAACTTGTGTGCAACAAAGGACTTTATCAATAAAGTGAAGATACTACCTACAAAATTTGAGAAAACGCAAAAGGGTGTGACAATATTAATTGCTAATATGCATAGGCTTTAATTATAAGCAACATTCTAAATGATTCCCATATACTAACAATATTCATATTGTTGGACTTCTTTTACAAATAAACAAACTGAGGCACAACAAAGTTAAGAAACTCATCCTTGACGCATAGCGAGGAACGGACAACACTCAGAACTAGCAGGTTAATTTGGTTTTGTATGGAAAAAGACATGTGTAATCCTGTGTAGAAATGAGGGACTGAGGCTGAAAAATATATTGACAATTATTTTTATAAAAAACAATCTATGTTTTTTCCCTACTCCTTAATAGTATGTGTTGTTGTTGTTATGTGCCCTCAAATCAGACCCTACTCATAGCGACCCCTTGTTAGGTTTCCAAGGCCCCATCACTACAGAAGTAGATTGCCCAACCTTCCTCCCGAGGAGTGGCTGGTGGGTTTGAACCGCCAGCCTTCTGGTTAGCAGTCAAGTGCCTTAGGCACCATGCTACCAAAGCTCCCTTAATAGTGTATAGCTAAGCTTTATAAGGGAGCTCTGGTGGCATAATGCCTAAAGCATTTGACTACGAACCAGAAGACTGGCAGTTCAAACCTACCAGCCACTCCTCAGAAAGAAGACTGGGCAATCTACTTCCATAGAGATACCACCTCAAAAACCTAAGGAGGGGTCACTATGGGTCGCCATGAGTCTGACTGCAGTGAGTTTGGTTTTTGGTGGTAAGCTTTATAAAGAAGCTCTGCTGCTGTCATAGGTAAGGCATTTGGCTGCTAACCAGAGGGTTGGTGGTTTAAACCTACCAGCTGCTCCACAGGAGTAAGATGAGGCAAACCTTCACCTTGGAAACTCAATAGGGGTTCCTAGGAGTAGGAATCAACTTGATGGCAGTGGGTTAAGCTTTATTGGGAAAACAAGTTTGTTTTAAGATTAGTCCACCAATTGTTGATAGTAAAGAGGAATACTTAGCTTCTGTTTTCTGGCTGCACCTATGAATGTTAGAAGACTTTTTTTTTTTTTTTTAATTGTGATTTGGGTGAAGATTTACAGAGCAAATT